AAATGAGAGGATCACTTGAGGCCAGCAATTTGAGACCAGCTTAAGTAACACAGTGAGACCTCATCTCTAAAAAAAAAAAAAAAAAAAAAAAATTAAAAAATTAGCTGGGAGCAGTGGCAAACTCCTATAGACCTAGCTACTTGGTAGGCTGAACAGGAGCTTAAGCCCAGGAGTTCAAGGCTGCAGTGAGCTATGATGAGGCCACTGCACTCCAGCCTGGTATGACAGAATGAGACCCCATTTCTAAAAATAAAATAAAATTCTCTCACATATCACAAAAGTGCTATATTAAATTACAAAGCTGTCATTCTGGATATGAACATCTTATAATAGAGAATAATACATGATTACAAGATGAAAAAATTTTGATATCACTTCATCATTAGAATTTGTTTAGTTTCAAGTTTGTTTAAATCATTGGTTGATTTAAATTTTGTTAAACTGAAATGTAATTTTGAAATTATCCCTCAGCTTTCCAATATGATTTATAAGGTGCCCACTGGGTATTTTTCTTATCACCAACCAAAGACAACAAGAAAAACAATTCTCTACCTCTGTCTTTTTTTTCTAAATAAGAAGTGGCTTAAATGAGAGCTGAAGGTTCAGAATAAATTGAATAGACAATATTAATCCTAAGTGCTGTTAAATGAAAAATGAGAAATGACTGTTCTAGAATGTTAGAGACTCTTCTCTTGTATGTCTGATTTGTATCCACAAAGTGGGTGGGAAAGGCATTGACATTAGGTTGAGTGTTCCACCTAGTGGCCAAACCCAGCCTAGCATGTTTTCTCTGTGTTCTCAGAATCTCTAAAAGGCAATAAAGCAAGGATTGATTTGTCTGAAAGCATCCCCATTATCTGTACTTGCAAAGAAACATTTCAGATAATGAACACTTTAGGAAGTTCATAAAATTTTGACTTACAGATAGAAAATCTTCCTGTCCCAAGCCATAAGACAAATCTTCCCCAGTATAGTCAAACTGCAGACATACCATTTTTCATTATTCAATAATTTACCCAAAATTCATTAAGCCTTTCACACATAATAGGTGCTGTGATAACCACTAGGGATACTAACATTAACAACTGAAAGTAAAGTTAAAGAACCCCTAGTCTAGCGAGGAAGACATGAAAACAAGCAATGAAAATCCAAGGTATAGGCCAGGCGCAGTGGCTCATGCCTGTAATCCTAGCACTGCGGGAGGCCAAGGCGGACGAATTGCTCAAGGTCAGGAGTTCGAAACCAGCCTGAGCAAGAGCGAGACCCCGTCTCTACTATAAATAGAAAGAAATTAATTGACCGACTAATATATAGAGAAAAAAAATTAGCTGGGCACAGTGGCGCATGCCTGTAGTCCCAGCTACTCGGGAGGCTGAGGCAGCAGGATTGCTTGAGCCCAGGAGTTGGAGGTTTCTGTGAGCTAGGCTGATGCCATGGCACTCACTCTAGCCTGGGCAACAAAGCCAGACTCTGTCTCAAAAAAAGAAGAAAAAGGAAAATCCAAGGTATTAAGTACAATGACACAGGAAACTAGAAGATCCCAGTAAGAGTGCAGGGACTCAAAACATTTCAATAAAATAAAACTTTCCCAGGGCACCCAACCAGTAAGTTATTCAGCTGGATTTGAACCCAAGTGTACTTGATTCCAAAGCTATTGACAGCCCTGTAGGGCCACCTATCCCTATTCCAGGTGAGCAAAATCGTAGTGAGGAGGTCCAATGAAGATATCAGGTGGCTGGCTATCAGGGTAATTTATTGCAAAAGGCTCACATTCAATAGCAAGATTAGGCACAGTTTCAATAGCCTGACTTATCAGAGACAATCTAATGGGGTGCTGGATTTAGGACCATGTTTTCTGTCTCCTGCATGCTGGAATATGAGCTAGAACTTCTTCCTAAGCCAAAGTGGGCAGCAGCTACCTCTCTTTTTCTAAAGATGGGCAGTGTCGTAGAGTGGGTAAGTAGTCCCAGGTTTGAGTGCTGGCTCTGCTATTTACTAGCTGTATGACCCTCATCAAGTTAATTAACACCTGGAAACCAGGAGGCCTGATTTCTAGTTCTGGCTCTGATACTACAGCTATATGCAATCCCATGAAAGTCCTACCAGGTTGTCCCAAGCAATGGAGGTTCCTAGGGTTCCATCTAAATCCATGGATGTCCCTAGGTCTAAAATTGAAAATTTTAGATATGACCATGAAAGTGTTGGCTCAACCAGTGTGAGAGGCAATGAGAGCTGAGAGGGTGAAACACAAATGCACATCTAATTGAAACGAACAATCACTGTAGCAGCAACCAGTTAGTTTTGTAAAAAGGGAAGATTTCTGCTTCCTCTGGGGGATCTTCATGTAGGAGAAACAAGCGCCGAAGGGCCATCACTGCTGCACCAATTTGGATGCTGTAGATAACGAAAAGATGACCTGGCATCTTAGGGGAATGGAGGCTGCCAAGAGGAGCTTCTTCTCCCCTTTCCAGCCAGAGGTTTGCGCTAGTACTACAGACAGGTGAAAGCAGTAGGGCAACCCCTCTGGATAGGACATTTCCTGCTCTCCCTTCCAAGCCTTGGGGTCTTGGGAAGCATCACATAAATGTCAGCTTGTGTGTTTAACCTAAATAATGCATACGTATGGTGTGTGCCTACACATTAGATAAACCCACAGGCAAAGTACCTTTAAAAAATTGCAGCCTGGCCTATGACCCGAGTCTCTTTCTGCAACCAACATCATTTAGTAGCCAAGCAACTAAACAGATTCCCTGGAGAATTGATAGGGGCATTGTTTAGTCGAAGACTCTCTGCTCATAGCAAGATACACACTTTTGACTGAAAACCTTCTTCAGTGTTAATTCTTTCATAAAACATGGAGTACTGGGTGATCCCTAAGTTCCTTCCAGCTCCGAATTTCTCTGAGCATAGTGGGTATAACAGAGCCAGCTCTACCACCACTTGGGAGCCAACTGTTGAGTATTTTAAATTTTTATTAGCCAGCAGTTAAACCATGAATACAAGTTTCCATGTTGGGAATATTTACAACATAGAAACTGGCAAACGCTACATATTAGGGGTTTTTCTCAGAGAGCTAGCCTACTAGCGTGCCACTCACTACGAGCCATTTAACCAAATGCCTTCCATATGCAGGGCGTAGTATCAGATGTTCTAAGAAGGTAGTTCCCAGCCAGCCATATGGCCACCCTGCCAAGTGGCATCTGAAATGTAAAAATACATTTTTGTTTGTCAAAATAACAGGTGGGCACCACAGGCATTTAATGAGCACAGGCTTGGTATGATAAATATCCCACAATGTGTACAACAGCTTCTCCATATAAATAAATCTCACGCCCAAAATGTCGTCAAGAGCAACCCCATTGAGAGACTGTGCAAGAGGTTCGAATACATTGTAACGTCGCCTTCTGGTTGCCTTCTTTGAGCCTGTACAGAAAGTCACATTTATATGGAAAGCATTGTCTACTGGACTGGCAAACAGGGGCAGATGGATGGAGCATCATCGCAGAAAGGAACCTGTTGACAGTTTGTTCCCTAACTTCCTAAATCCCACCCTAAGTTTCACTTGTCCTCTCTTCTTGTATGCTTCTCATTGCTATCTCCACTCTGGCTCATTTATCAAAAGTTCCTTTGGCCGGGTGCGGTGGCTCACGCCTGTAATCCTAGCACTCCGGGAGGCCAAGGCGGGCGGATTGCTCGAGGTCAGGAGTTCAAAACCAGCCTGAGCAAGAGCAAGACCCCGTCTCTACTAAAAATGGAAACAAATTAATTGGCCAACTAATAGAAATAGAAGAAATTAGCCCGGAATGGTGGCGCATGCCTGTAGTCCCGGCTACTTGGGAGGCTGAGGCAGGAAGATCGCTTGAGCCCAGGAGTTTGAGGTTGCTGTGAGCTAGGCTGACGCCATGGCACCCACTCTAGCCTGGGCAACAAAGCGAGACTCTGTCACAAAAAAAAAAAAAAAAAAAAAAAAAAACCAGTTCCTTTTAGCCTAGTTCTATTGAAACAGCGTGTCAGGTAGACTCCAAGTAACAGAAAACCCAACTCATAATAGTTTAAACACATGATTCCCCCGCCCCTGCTCTCACACTTGTGATCACAAGGTACATAGTTGCTGGCTTTCTTTCAGCAGCTCGAAGACATGAAGCCTGAGGCTCTGTGACCATCTGACCTCTTCCTAATGACAGCAAGTGGCTCCTGAAACTCCAGCACTCGAGACCATTTCCCCAGCTGGAAATGGAACCAAATCAGAAAGGGGCTTGAGCCCATGAGTTTGAGGTTGCTGTGAGCTAGGCTGATGGCATGGCACTCACTGTAGCCTGGGAAACAGAGTGAGACTGTCTCAAAAAAATAAATAAAACAAATACAACCTAACCACAGGTGAGTGGGCACACTGATAGGCACTCATCAAGATTTTCTTCCACTTTGATTCATTGAAGATCCCTGTCAAAAATGTTCCCTCTTCAGTCCATACACAATTCCCTATTTCCTTTCTTGTTTTTCCTTTTTTTTTCCCCTCCATTGGGATTGATATTAAAACAAGGGTCTCAGCCAGGCCTGGTGATGCACACCTGTAGTCCCAGCTACTAGGGAGGCCGAGGCAGGAGAATGGCTTGAGCCCAGGAGTTCCAGGTTGCAGTGAGCTATGATCGCACCACCCACTCCAGCCTGGGCGACAGAACAAGGCCCCATCTCTTAAAAAAAAAAAAAACTTAAAATTAAATAAAATAGGGTAATATTTGTTTCTATCTCCTTTGGAGACAATAGATGGTAAGTGAAGTAATTACTCAAAACCTGAGTAGAAAAATGGCATTTTCACATTCCTGGTGGTACATATTAACTTGGTCTAGAAGCATCAGACATTAAAATATCCCAATTTTTCTCCAACTTGAAAAAAGGTATGACATTATTTACTCTTTTTTTTTTCCTGTGTATTGGCACTAGTTTAATTCCTTGTCATGGAAATTTTACCCAAGTATGATAAAGAAGATTGTGCTCTGGCAATTACACTTTAAATCAATACAAAAAGGAAATAACTTCCAAGCTCATGCCAGTGAGGGACAGAATGCCAACTCCTTCATTTACAATACAGAGAAATAGACCCTCCCAGTGGGTGATGTGACTGAATTAATATATGTAAAGAAGGGATATGTTAGTTAAAAGCCATGGGGCATTAATGAAGAGATACAGCAGCAAATATTGACAGTGTGCTCCCAAGTAAGTACTCACAGGAAAAGTCTTTTCCAGTGGACGCTGCACAGTCTCCTCCACTGACTTTCTACTGTGAAAAGGATGAGTCAAGCTAAATCAGCCATTCCTCATTTGATTCCTCAAAGTCTCCTTGATTCCACCAAACACCTTAGGGAAATTTCATTTCACTAGCAGGTCTACCTCCAGAGAGAGAATGCACCAATAGGGGTCCGTGGATGTCAGAGCCCCAGGCGTTGGGCAGTGATTCTCACACTTGAGCACTCCTGGGAGCTCCTGTTAAATCAGATGGCTGGGCTCTGCCCTGGAGAATCTCATTCAGTAGGTCTGCAGTGAGGCCCCAGAATTTTCCTGTTTATCAAGTTCCCAGGTGATGGTGATGATGATGATGATGATGATGATGATGATGATGATGATGATGATGATCTGGTGACCACACTTGGAGAAACACTCCATTAGTTGAAAGGATGTAGCAAATAAATCTGTAGGTGGTGGGATGCTGAGAATGATCTATATTTCAGTGATCTATATTTCACCTGTGAAGAAAGAGGCATGGTTATCAAGAAAAGGGGAAGGAACTAGAGAGAGAAAGTCTTGAGGAGAACATCACAATTTTAAAACAACCACCACAGGGAATAATAAGCACTTGAGCAGTGTTCAAACCTTAATCAAAGTCAGAAAAATAATGATGGTGACAGCTTTCATTGAGCAGTGACTAACTATATGCTAGGTATTATGTTAGGAATTTTTTATGCATTTTATTCCTCCTAAAGCTCTAAGTATTAAGAACTTTTGTTATCCCTATTTTACAGGGGATACAATAGGCTCATAGGTCTAGTAAGTGGAGAAGCTAGAATTTGAATTCACAAAGTTTAATTGCAGAGTTCATGCTATTGGCAACCATGCTAATTTGAGTTTAATTCATTAAGCTTCATTTTGAAATGGGTCTGATCCAAAAGGGTCCCAGTGGCTTTTATCTGTGGCCAATGTTGAAAGCTTCTCAGTAAGCGTCATGTAGATGTTCTCACTGTCTACAGATGATAGTACTAACAGGAAAGGCAAAGGTGTGAGAAATATAGCAGGACAGGACACATTAGGTCAAGATGAGCTGATTTCCCTGGAAGGGGCTCCTAGCTTGGAGGGTTTGCAATAATACAGCTGCCCCTCAGCCTTTCAGATCAGTTACTCAACTCTCATGTCACCAACGGATTGAATGCCAGCTCATTCATTTATTGTTAAGGTGGGTATTTTCTTACAGTGGTAACCAGAATACTTACATTCAATCTCCAGAGCACATTCTTACAACAAAGTGCTTGGGACCCAAATTAGTCATCATAAACTGCCATTTATTGAACAGAGAATCAGACTAAAAGAAGTAGATTGAGGTGCCATTATTTGGCTAGTGGATGCTGGTAGGGTCAGGTCAACCAATATCCATTCTGATATCTATAACCATCATACATTAATAAATATTATTTGTGTTTAGATTATCCAGATGATCAAATGCAAGAAAACATGAATTACAGCCATTCTATGAGAATACTGAATTTGGAAACAAGCAGCAAAAAATGACTAACATTATAAAAGAAAGCATCTCACCAAAGAAAGATATTAAATATTTAGTATACATTGAAAGTAGGCAAATGTCTAAGAAATTTCCAAATGATAGGAATTTTTTTTAAGTATGCATCTGGCTAAGAAAAAAGCTTCAATTTTCTGGAAATGTCTGTTACGTACCACAGTGAATTCTCATATGATATAAATGAGATCATGATCGAGTAGTAAGAAACAAACAACTAACTATAAGACCCCTGGCGATAGCTTCCTGGTTCTGTCTCCTGTTGCATTAGTAAATGAACTCTGTAATAACACAGGTGTTCATACTTATGTAAAAGTGAGTAAAGACCAGCTACTTTTAAAGCAAATATTCGAATAGATGTAAAAGAGCCAAATGACAGTCAAATGGCCACATAAAAAGATAGTATAATTTACTATTTTGGTTATTTAACTTTCCCCAAAATGTGAATACATCCTTGGTCTGTATAGCTAAGAGCTATGCTCACATATAATGCCACACATTTTTAAAGATGCTCAAAATATCACTTTCCAAAGACATTCATACAGAACTGAAAACACTGCTCAATTATGTAAGAAACTGGAAAAAGTTGATAACCTAGCATCATTCACATTGACATGCTGAAATGTTAACTTCAGATAATTACTGGATTAGTTCTGTTCAATTGCCAAAACCTAGCATTTACTTAGGAACTCCCATTCTGACTTGTTACCACAAAAAGAAACTATCACCTGTGAAGTAAGTCATAGTGTTGTTATTCCATCCACCTACAATACCTTATAGCATTAAAAACAACATCACTGCATTCAGAGTTCATGAGAATAGTATTAAAATATAAAAACTTTTTTAAAGGCTAATAAAATTGGCTGGGCATCTCGGTTCATGCCTGTAATCCCTACACTCTGGAAGGCAGGAGGATCACTTGAGTCCAGCCTGGGCAACACAGCGAGACCCCATGTTAAAAAATTTGGCAGGCATGGTGGCACACAGCTATTGTCCCAGCTACTGCAGAGGCTGAGGCAGGAGGATTGCTTGAGTCTAGGAGTTTGAAACCAGCCTGAGTAACATAGCAAGACCTGGTCTCAAAAAATAAAATAATTTTTTTTTGTCTCACTGAGTAGAGTGCCATGGTGTCAGCCTAGCTCAAATTCCTGGGCTCAAGGAATCCTCCTGACTCAGCCTCCGAAATAGCCGGGACTACAGGTGCACCCCACCACGCCCCACCAATTTTTCCATTTTTTGTAGAGAGATTTTTCTGTAGAGATCTTGCTCTTGCTCAGGCTGGTCTTGAACTCCTGACCTCAAGTGATGCTCCTTCCTCGGCTTTACAGAAAGCTAGGATTACAGGCATGAGCCACCGTGCCCGGCCAAATAAAATAATTTTTTTTTTTTATGCAACAGACTGGCTTAATATAAATAAAATAATTTTTAAAAATTAAAAAGCAATATTTAAATATAGACTGATTGGTAACCTGGTGTCTGGCGCCATCTGCTGACCCACCAGTAGTAACGTCCTTTTTGTGTTTCTTCAGCTAGTGTGTAAATTATAATTTTACATGAGAAATATGTACTTATGTGAAAATGACTGGAAATTGACTTGCAAACATAAAAATAATTTTTGTGTTTAGAGTATTGCTTTGTATTTTTGAATGACCTTATATATTTTTAAGAAAATATGCTGATTGAAATATTTATGAAACAAGAAACACAACTTGAGAGACTTGGGCAAGATGGGAAAATGAGCAGCACCAGGGTTAGGAATGAATCTCTAATGGTCACTTACAACAAAGAGGTGGGCATTGTGGATTGTCATGGATCTGGCGACGATGACTGAAGTCATCTGACAAGTTAAAATTAAAGACTTACTTTTTCTCCTACTATTTTCAATTAAAGCTGGTTATCTAGCATAACATAAATTAAGGCTTATAAAAGAATGGAAAACCAAGCACCACATCTACTCACCACCAAATTGGTATTAACTAATCAACACTGATGTGCACATATAATAATAACATTCACCTAGTGTCAGGCAGATGGGGGTGGGGAGGAGAATTGAGTATATTCACAACTCATGGGTGTGGTAGGCACCATCTGGGGGATGGACATACTTGAAGCTCTGACTCGGGTGGGGCAAAGGCAATATATGTAACCTAAACATTTGTACCCTGTCATATGCTGAAATTTTAAAAAATTAAAAATTAAAAAAGTGCTGCAGTGAACAACCAAAAAAAAAAAGACTTGTAATTTAGCACTATGAGAAATACGTGATAACAGATTGCTCACATGATCACCTGATAGTAACAGAGAAAAACTCCAAAGACATTCTGTAAATCACCAAAGAAAAATAAATACTTGATTTAACGTGGCTTCATTTCACTAGGAATTTCTAGGATACCAACTGTGCCAAAGAGTATGAGCTTCCTGTATTTTGTTTTTTTGTTTTGTTTTGTTTTGTTTTGTTTTTTTTAGAAAGTACTGGAGTGAAAACTTCCTGTATTTTGCATGGGCTATGTAAACTACAACCTTGTGGGAGGCTAAATACTGAAAAATTTTTATGTCCAGGTACCTTTCTTGGTAGTCATTCTTATGAATGCTCCTTTCCCACACATTGTACAAGGCCAGGTATCTTAGGCCAGTCAAGCCATGACAGAATACCACAGACAGAGTATAGACTGGGTGTCTTATAAACGACAAAAATTTATTTCTGGTGGAAGATGGCGGATGAGAAAAACCGCCAGCCAGAGTATCTCTGCAAGAGAGACAGATTTTAGAAGAAAGTGAAAAAAATGAACAGGCAGACAAACATAGATCAGACGAGGGTAGGAAGGAAGGATGCCCGAAGCTACAGGAGACTCCACAGAAGAAGTTGTGGAGGAGAACTGGAAGGAGAAAGGCCCCAGAGAGGCTTGGAGACCAGCGACAAGGGTAGGGGGAGCAGTTAACTTTCCCCTCCCTTGTATCTCGGACTGCTGGTGGGCTCCTGACTGGTTGTAGAGACCTGACAACACCAGCCCAGAGACGGCTGCCACCAGTGAGCGGTGAGTCTCTTGAGGACAGGGCACCAGGCTCCCTGGCGCTCAGACCCCAGCCAGTCAGCAGGCGCCATATTGCTTCACTCTCCCCTTCCTCTCACCCTTCCACAGCTGCCGAGAGAGACAATTTAGCCACCCCCCAGAGGCATCTCCAGGGAACGGGACCTTTCCTTTTGGGGCCCTTCAGTAGATTGAGGGGTACTCAGACTGTGAGCTCCCTACCTGCCAGCCCTCCCAGGTGCTGCTGGAATATCCCCAGGGGGAGCTTGGGCACCCCGTGGGTGACTTGAGACCAGCACTCCTCTCCCAGGCAGGGTTGGGGATTGATCTTGGGGCCCAGGGGACAGGTTTGCAGACCAGATCCCATATACCCAGGTCTTGATCACATGGCCCCGGGTACAGAAGGGATATTTGAGAATGAGCCTACTGAGCTGTGTGTGCCTTCAGGGGCAGATCAACCTGCAAGAGGGGCAACCCTCCTCCCACGAGAGGGGAGGGCCGTGCACCCAGCTCAGGCTGGGAAGGGAACCTGGGCAGGGATCCTCCCTGCCTGCATGACAGCCAGGAGAGACCCGTTGGCGTGGGGTCCTGCCTGCTGGCAGAGACCAGAGAGAAACCGTGGAACAGGGGCAGGTGGAAAGGAGTGAGGACTGCTCAGACAGCCCCACCCCACACACATACTTTACACCTGCGTAGGGCCATTTTAGCCCCTCCCTGGCAGCTTAGCCCAGAAGCAGAGAACAAACCTTTGACCCCAGCTAACAGCATTTGTGGAGCTTGACGGGAGGCTCACCCAACCCAGCTCCACCCAGCCTCACTCCCCCACCTGCCCCTGCAGAGGTGGAGAATAAGGGCACACCTGGAAGTCCCATGGCCCCACTCATCACCAGAGGCACTACAGTGCCTCTCCAGAGGAATAAGAGCTGAT